CGGGCCCGCCCCCTCCGGGGCCGTCGGCGGGGGCGATGGGGCCGAGCCCGGCGGTCGCCGTCCGGCCTCGGCGGTAAGCGGGGTCGGGCGGGAGTCTTCGGTGCGCCTCTCCGCGAGGGGAGGGCATAAACGAAGGCAGCGCGGCCCACCGCCCACCTGTGCGGGGGGTCCGCTCGGAGGCGGCCGGAGGACGGTGCGAGGCCGAGCCCGGGCGGTGTGTGGGGGGTGGGTCTGCTTTGAAGCCGGGCCGGGCCGCGTCGCTCGGTGACCGCCGGTGGGGTGGGGGCCGGCGGCTGCCCGTGCGCTGGCGCGCGCGTGGCGGTACGTGCGCGCGGGCACGCGCGGCCCGGGTCTGGGCTGAGCTCGGCCCGGTTCGGCCCGGCCCGGCATCGGCGGCTCCTTATCCCGCGTCTTGTTCCTGAGGGTGCGAAAGGCCCGTGAGCCGGATCGCCGTCAGCTCTGCCGCCCTCTGGGAAGACCTTGCCTTTAGCGGATCTTAAAGACAATTCTAACAGGGCTCTGTTTTCGGTGCTTTAAATCATGAGTGCTCGGACCGCTGCAGCCGATTCCCTTTCCAGCAGTGAGCGTGTCACGTTCACCCGAGCTTATTTTCTGAGCGCTGTCATCTTGTTGGTTTTCACGCTGTTGTCTCCGTGCTGCCTCAAGTGTAGGTAAACACCTGAAACAGGCAGCGGCGGGGGGCAGCGATGTCAGACCTCGGCGTGCCAAAGGCTGCTGCGACATAATTCGTATTTCTCTGTGTTTCAGCGGGTTTGTCTTGGAGGTGGGGTGCAGGTGAAGCTTAGTCAAACCCAGGAGGTTTTGTTTTTCAGCTAAGCCGTGTACCGATTTCCAAGCAGTTAATAGAGCATTTAAAGCAAGAAACAATGATGCTTTTGTCTGGTTATATAAAGCGTCACCGCGGATTAAGTGAGATTGTTGAGTTTTTTTCCATCCTCTACCCAAATGCCTGAAGTTGAAATTACAGTGAGGGAAAACTGTTTTATGACAAGAGAGCTTGTTAATGTAGTTAATTTATTATTAGGACTGTTGTTACAGTGAAAATGACATGGTTACTGTCTTGCCCACCTATCTGAAATCAGAAGACAAAAATTACCAAATGTTTTGGGGATATTTTAGCTGGGTATATTTCTTTCCTCCCACTATCTGCCTCTAGTGAAAATTCAGGTTCTTGGTTAATTATATTAGTAATATGCACTTCTGAAACTTCAAGTGTTTTGCAAAGTAGGCATAGGAAGTGTCATTCCGTATTGGAACACAGATGATGTTTCTCTGATAGCTGTTCATCTCTGGTTCTTTGAAATAGCATATAGAGCAGGCATGTTCTTTTGATAAGTGCAAAGTGTATTAAAAAAAATGATTGAAAGCATTGCCAATAAGGAGTTTACCTCATAATCCCTAATAATTAGGTGTATATTAGGTATATATATATTAGGTGCACTCTGACATGCCAAGTGGTTTGTCTGCTGTTGGCAAACTCCAGCCTATAGTTACCTAGCGCAGAAGTTACTGGTAAGAATTGCTAATTCATTTTTATAAATGTCAGCAAACCTTTGATTAAGATTCCCAGGCATTGCTGTATGACAGTGATTTTCTCTCTGGTTTTATATTACCCTCCCATAAAGTAGTTGGCACATGTGTTTTAAAGTATTAATATTTATTTGGGTGTAGGACTTAGTAACTAAGTTTACGTGGAATTCCATGTGTTAGTGCTTAAAGAAAGTGTCTATTTGTTTACTTTGCATATTCTTAGGAGTTCTTTTTCATTAACTGGAGTACCTTTAAATGTTCATTCTCAAATCAAGATTTGAGACTGTAAGTACTCGTCATATTGGCAAAACTCACTGTTACTAGAGGAAACTGAAAGCATTCTTACACAAAGCTTTAGGTTTTATGTGTGCTTGCTCAATTTTATATTGCTATTGTGACTTTAAAAGTTATCACCCAAGATTTAGAAAGTGCACTGGTAAGTAACAGGGGAAAATATCCATGTCCATTTCTAAAAGGGTTTTTTTATTTCCTCTTTTTTAAAGTGAGTTAGTGGATGGCTGAAATTTGGCTCAACCATTAAGTTGCTGAAATGTTTTGCTGCTTGAGGACCGTGAGAAGGTATGGCATGTTACCTTTAGCATGTGTTTCAGTGTTTGCTTATGACTTGCATATTTGTGAAACTGGTTTGGTATTTTTGTTTCATGCTTATTTCTTTGACATTCTCATCTTTACAACTTGGAGCTTTCAGCAGAGCATCCACAGTTGAAAATCCTCCAAAGCCATATGCCTGTCCTCAAGTGAGACATTAAAAAGGCTCTCAACAGAACAAAGAGTTTTAAAATAGCTTAATTTTCAGAAATATGAGTATGCTATCCAATATATTATTGTATTATTGAGTTATTAAAGCTTAGTGCTTCAAAATGTGTGAATACGTCTGTAACTATGAACTTAATTTAATGGAGCTTTTCAGTGCCAAAGCTATAAGCCAAAAAGTTGACCTTTGGAGAGATGTGAAGAAAAAGGAAGTTGAAGGGAATTATTTAAGCAATAAATTCAATCAGTCTTGGAGTATGATTGCATAATGTGTTCTAGTAGAGATTGTGTTTCATGTCTTTCGTGAAGTAGAGACGCTGCCCTCAAAGTGGTTGTGACCTTGATTTTAATAAGAAGCCTTTCTCTGCTCTTCAGATCTAAATGAAGCTCTTGGAACAATCTTTGCTCCTTGTGAGTGAAGCCATAAACATGTTTCTTGCATTTTCTCCCTCTAAATCCATTTTAATTCACTTGCTTTGTCACTCCAGTTGAAAGATGCCTCAGAGTTTTGTCTTTCACCTTCAGTGAATGAATTCTTCCTTCTGTCACGCAGACTAATTTTGGCCTTTGAGCATTTCTCTTTTAAGCAAGTTCAAAATAGACTTTTGGCTGGAATCCTAAGCCTTCCTTCTAGCATGACAGTGTTGTTTAGATACAAAACAAGGGAACTAAAGTTAGCCATACTTGGCCATTTTTCATCTAGAATAACAGATGGAACTTTATGATTAACAAACTCAGATGTATGATTAATGGTTTCCAGCTATGTTGAACTTTTTTTTGGAACTATTGGAAACATCATGCAGTGTAGCTTGAGAGTGGATGTGGGAAATGGTGTACAAATAAGGTGAGCAGAGAACTGAGCTACTCTTCCTCCTAACACCTTGATCTAGGAGGATGTGAATTTCTTGCATGTCAGTCAGCTGCAGTCAGAAGGGTAACTGGTTAGTTTACTGTTCTCCTTTGCTGAAAATATTTTTGTTCATTTTACTGTTTTGTGTACACTTGCTACCCAAAAAAAGAGAAAAATTCACTGTTTTTTTTTCTCAGCAAGACAATTATTTTGGTGCTTCCAGATCCAAACTGGTAAAGCATGTGACCAAGTGGACTTCTGTCCAGAGTGCTTTGCTTCCTGTCTTGCCTAGTCTAGTAGAGGTGTTTTTCTTGCATCACTGGGCAACTGTGGCATGATTTTGTCATTAAGAGCTTTCACTCTCTCTAATAACATTATATTGCTGTGGTATTTCACCACCTGCTATTTGGAGTAGGATCATGGTCTGTAGTGGTTACTAGTCTTAGTTTTAGAGTCTCTGAGATGCAGCCAACAAGGAGGTAGAAGTGTTTACCAGTGATATATTTTAGCTTTTTTTTTTCAATCTTAGATTTCATCTACATGCATGAAAATTGTTATTAAGTCAGAGCAGATTTGGAATTCCATCGGTCTTATTAAATCATGAAGGTTTTGTCCCACTTTTCTACAATAACTTCTGTTTTCAGCAAGCTGACTTGTAAGATTTTCTAATTAAATATTTGCCCACCTCTTAGGCAGAAAAAATTAGTCTTCACTGCTTTCATGTTTCTAATTGAAGAGCTGGGAAGGTTGACAGAAAAAGGTAAAGTAAGGGTCACTGCTTCTGCTTGACAACTCAAATATTATCATTTGCCAAAATAAAACATTCTGCTTATTGTCTGAGCACAAATTTGGGGATTTTTTTTTTAAATTAATTATATCAGTTGGGAAAGTCTCATGTGTCTGTGTGCAGGATGATTATTTGGTCTGGGATGCTGGATACATAGCTCTCTGTAACAGTCCTGCTAACTATTATTAATAAAGTTACTAGTTTTATGTGAGTTGGAAGCAGCTGTGTCCGTGATCTGCCATATATTTTCCTATTTGGGGGTTGCAATTTGAATGATACTGTGAGGATTGAAACTGCATTCACAGAGCTGAGTCCCTGCCCTTCTGATTTGCAAACTAAAATGGATGTTAGTCACTGAAATTGGCCTAATCAATTTGTCAGCTTGTGAAATTAGCTGAAGGAGAAACCTATTGTGTATCCCTTGCATTCACATTTCCTTGGTGCTTTTATGTATACCCTCTAGCTTCTTAATTTGCTAAACCTGAATATTACCTTTGAGCTACTGGAAGGATATTTTATTAGTTTTCTTTCCATTTCAGTCTTCTGTAGCACAAGTGTGCTTGTTACAGAACTGTTGTTTAATTTCTACATAATTGCAGGCATTCGATAATTTGAACTTTCTGAACTTCTTAGAACTTTTTCAGCTTAACTTTTCCTTCTCATCTTAGGTAAAACAACCTTTTTCTCCTACCATTAAATTTCTTTTAGTCCTGGTTTATTGTAATTCAGTGAAGGTGAAAGTGCAGAAAGCATTGTCTCTTTACTTGACGTTTTTAAAAGAGTATGTTCAGGAAAGTAGGATTTTTTTTTTTTTTAATGGACACAAGTATGGAGCTCAGAAACTAATGCAGAACTTCTTTTCACTGAACTGTGATTATTATTCCTGGGTGAATTTTAATATTCTTTGGCACTGCTTGAAAAATACTTGGCTTTTTAACTTGGTTTGGCTTTTTAACTTGGAGGTTCAGAAGTATGTAAAGGTTAGCTTTTAAGAGCAGCTTCAGCAATGTCTACAAAAAATACCACTAAAGCCACTATTTGCAATTTGAACTACTTGACTGGGAATTTTTATTTGAGGCATATTTGAGAAAGTAGAGAGAAGTTTCCTGTACTTACTTACGTGTGTTATTCAACCATTAGCATCCACCATTCCTCAAACCTATTGGATTGGCACTGTCAAAACACCACTTTGTTAATCCCAAGGGGAAAGATCCAGAATTCAAACTCCTAATTTAAATTCTCCAGTTTTAAATTATTATACTTGCAACTATAAATGTTTACTCCGTTCTATCACGTTTTAATGTAATTATATCAGTTTGTCACTTGATTGGTAGAGTCATACATAAACATTTTACTACTTTGTTAGGTTGTGTCTGGACAAGATACTGCTGCAGTGCATTCTTCAGTCAAGAACTTTGTCAGGCGCTGATGCCATCAATGCTCTCAGACCTTTCTATTTTGCTGTACATCCCGATTTCTTTGGCCAGCATCCCAAAGAGAGGGTAAAAATACTTTAGTATGCTTTCTTTGTAAATATTTCATGTATTGAGGATGGAAATTTTCTAGTTTTCCTGCTGTCAGAGAACAGTAATGTTAGAATTAATTATGGTTGGTACCAGAGAACAAATAGATGCACTTCCTTAATTTTTAGCAGAGATAGGTCCCTTGAAAGTCCCTCATTTGTTAATCATATTTTCTAATTGTTATAAAGAAGATCCTGAATCCTTCCAGGCAAATTTATAATACATTTTACTTTATCCCTTTGAAATGCTGTGCATTATATTTGAATCAATGAATTTCTTTATGCTGGAAAGCCAGTGGGTTTTGGAATTTACACAAATGTACAAGTGTGTACACCATACAAATTTATTCTTGCAAGGTAATTATTAATGCTGACAATATGAACCATATTAGTACTTGTTAAAAGCAACTGACATTTTGTGAAACCTAATTCTGCATGTAAGATTAAAAAGGGTTAGATGAAAAATGGCCAAATCCATCATCTGTAATTTTTGTTTGTTTGTTTTTGTTTTAAAACAGGAAGTAAATGAAAACTCTCTGAAGAGGCTAAATGGCTACTTGGAGAACCTACAGAAACCAGGGTTTCGTTCCTTTAAGCCAACTCAGCTTACTTTTTATGTAAGAGAAAGAGAACCAAACTCTTCTAATGTTCAGGAATCCTTCAGTGCTTCAGGTGCTTTTATATCGTGTAGAATGTGTCTTCCTGTATTTAAATTCCTTCAGACCATTGCTTATCCTTGTGCAGCCATAACGACTTTTGTACTGAATAAAATCCTGTCAAACCATGAAAATCTGTCAAACCATTAGATCAGGCAGGTGGGACCATCCCATGTAATTAAACATCTTAAGCTTTAAAAAGCCTTGAAAGAGTGAGACATTACAGCCCTGAGGTCAAGTTACAGTATAAGGAAGTAAAAAAGGTGGATGTAAATGATAATGTTTCTGCTTTTAATACCATTGCCATGTCCTCATTGCAGTTCATGTGTAGTACACAATGTCAAGGCACTTGTAGAATCAGTAGGAACTTACTCTCTAAGCAGAAGCTGTATGATATCTGAAGTTTCAATTTATTTCATTGTCTCTTATCTTTGAGACTACAAAAAATATTGCCAAATTTGGAATGTTGCTTTTGATTAACTTTACGGTGTATCTCCAGAACCAGTATGCCTTAGATAACAGACGAGTTTTACATTCTAGATCATGACAGTCAAAACACTTGAGCAAATTGTGAGGCACCCTCATGCTGAAAAATAAAATCCTGCTGTTTTTCAAGAAAATGGTAGGGTTATGTCCAGTCTCCTTAACATAACACTTGTACTGCAAGCTGTCTTTGCTCTTGAATCAAAAGCTTACTTTCTAATTAGGAAAATTAGATCCAGTAGCTAAGTGATGGGACATAGTTAAACTGCATGTGAATTTTGCAGTGAGTATTGAAATAACAGTATCATCATAATTTCCAACTACCTGTGCCTTGTTTAGCTTCTTCTGTAAGAAGAAATAAATGGGAATGCATTTAAAATAATTTTAATTAAATAATACTTGTTTTTTACAGGGTTTCGAGCAGTCAGTTTTACGTTACATACTAGGGATCTCCTGAGCACAGTACTAGATATTCTCAACTCCTGCAGTTTATCTACAGAGCATGTTCAGAGTTTGAATGTGAACTCTCAGCCCCACAAGGAAGCAAAAAGCACAGTGAACAGACCTATCAAATGGGATAAGACTTATTATTCATTTACTGGATTCAAGGATCCTGAGGAGGAACTAGAGCAAGCCCAGAGAGTGGAAACAACTTTACTGTATGTAATGCTTTCATTGAACTGAAATTTTGAAACCTAAATTATTCTAATGCTGAGTTTTTTAAAGGTAGGCAATAAATATTCTGAACAATACAAAACTTTATTGTCCAACATGTAATTTTGCCATGCTTGTTATAACTGGAGTTCAGATGAGCTCCTGGAATAACTGCAGTGCCAGCAAAGCTGAAGCATTCTTGTCTCTTTGCCCAGCAGTCCTGTTTGGTCAGCCTAGTTTTGGTTGATCCAGTTTTTCAGATTTGTGGAGTATTGATGGCAATTCAAAAGGAGGCAGGTGCTTCACTTAGCTCCAAATAGCTCCTTACCTCTTACAGGACTTGTGTAACACAAACCTATATGGCTATTAACTTTATTGTTAATACATGAAAACTAAGGTTAAAAGGTTTTAATATGAATGGTATCTTAGTGTTGTGCTTCTCATTTGCTGTTCAGCAGGAAAACTAGAATATTTAAGTCAATGTAGTTATAAATGCTGAACTTGCATTACAATGTAGGATGTTTTGTAGTAAAGTTGGTGTTTTAAAAAAAAACTTGTATGTGCTCATTTTGGGACACATACACATTTTGGGACCTTGAAAAACTTTTTGTAACAATGAGAGTTAAGTGCCATTTGAAATGAATACAGAACTGTGCTGGAAGGATCTTCAGAGCAAAGTATGTCCCTTGTCCTGCATACCACCTCACAAATGAAACTACTCTAAAATACACAATTATAAAACACTTAACTGAGATTTAACATGCTAGAGAATATTTTTACTTATTTTTACACATTTACAAGGAATGCCCCAGACAGTTATGTATTAACAGTCTTGTTTTAATACATAGACAGCTGGCATCAGGCCTCCCTTTTTACTTCAGTTTGAATTTTTATTGCTTCAAATACAAATGAGAATGCAGCTATTTGATTGCAAAAGTTACAAGTATGAAAATTAGTTTATACTATGACCAAAAGCTAAATCTCTTAAATAGTAACCTTTTCCTAGAAACAAAGTTACCTACTGAAATTTTAGATGTACTCAAAGAGTCATGTTTGTCTGGTTGTGATTATTGGCAAAAAAACTATAAAACTTTGACCTGTTTAATCTAAGTTCATGTCAGCTCTGTAAAAATTACCTAACTTAGCCCTTTAGTACCACCTCCCATATTTGATAGTCTGCTGTGATCACTTTGGGGTTTCTTTGTTAGGTGTTGGTGTGTTTGGGATTGTTTCGGGTTTTTTAAAGGCACATATGTGGAAACTCCTTAAATTAAATCACAGAGTTCTGAAATCTCCCCTGAAGTCACACTGATCTGTTGTTTTATGCCTTTTACACATACATCCAAGTGATTTTGATTGTTAGATTTCTTAGGCCCCTCCAAAGATACTAAGTACCAGGGTTTCCTTTGTAGATATCTTGAAATTGCTAAATGCTTCACCTTATCTTCTATCCTCTATTTCTAAAAAAAATCCCTTTACCTGATCATTTGACTTGAAACATATTATCAGTAAGAATTGAGTTACCTGTGCTGCTTACATGATAAATCACAGCAGCATCCTTCTACTGTTGAGTATTTTTCCTCCTCTTTCAGGTCCTGGCTAGATGATAATGAAGCAAGTGCAGTAAAAAAGCTGAAAAAGAGTTTGCCGCTTAGAAAAGAATTAGAACGTTTAAAATTTGAACTTTCTCATGAACTCCAGCTCTCCGATATCAGGTAATTAGTTAGATCAGTTGAACTTGGATTAGGACAGTCAAAGCAAGGAAGTGTTGTCTAATACTATGCTATAAACTTTAAAAGCTTATTCCAGCAAAACAGCTATATTTCATATATGAAGAAGTGTTACTGCACTGAGTAAATTTCTAGAAGTGTTCTACTGGGACGAAAGTTTCCTGTTACAGTCTGCTCTGAGAGACCTCCTCTTTGTAACTGAAAACGTAGGCTGCAGTTGAGGCAAACACAGAACTGGAACTGGTGTGTTATGGTTTAAATGCTGGTTAAAATTGCATTTCCTGAAATCAAGTTAATACTTACAAAGGTAACTAGACCAGCAGTGAAGTGCAACTTTGTCCATGGTACACAATGACATCCTGTGAATGCTTAATAAAAATGTTCTTTCTTTTAGTGTTCAGTTTCTCACTCTCTGGAGGAGACTTGTTTGTTTGAAGGGTCTGAATGCAGTTGGAGATCTTGATTCTTCAGAATATTTTTCAGAAAATAATTTGCGATCCTTTTTAAATTTTTGTGCTTTTGAGTGAGGATGTTGTGAAGTGAGATACTCAGGGTGGGGAAAGTGGCAGTGAAGGTATTCAAAAATGGAAAAATAAACTTATTTCAAGGGCTAGTCTGTTAGGTTCTATTTTTTTTAACCAGGAAAGAGAGAATTGGAGCTTCTAAAATCATTCTTTTGTCCTTTTCACCCTGCAAAAGACCCTGGTTTCCTTTAAGCTGAAGCCAGGTTTTTTGAACACGCTTTCTAATGGTGTGCTGTGGTGAGGGTTTTTAACATTCTGAAACAGTCTTCAGTATTAAACACGTAAGTTTGATTTTATTCATGGCTTATATTCATTTTCTTAAATAGCTCATGCTTCTAAAATACATTAAAATTGTTGTGTTCCATGAAGAGTTATTTATCATCCATGAGTTACATTGTTATAATTCGGAAAAGAATGTGAGTTTTGGAAATCTGACAAGCCAGTATCTTAATAGGACGCTATGACCTGTGGTTCTGGAGCCTTGTGCTAGTGTTCACAGAGATCTGAAAAACAGCTGGGTCGCTGGCATTATTCCATGTGTAAGTTTAGGACAGATGAAGAATTGGCCACCTTTTTCTGCTCCTGCCTGGTGCTACTGAAAGCAAAGTGATATTGCTAGGTAACAGTAAATAATTGTTTGAATTGCTTGGATTTGGTTAAATTGCTTCACAAGTGCTGTGGCATAGTGCCATTCCCTGCATCCCACAGAGTGAGGTTGTGCCAGTTAGGTTTCCTTAAATGAGATGATGTGGGTGACCCCAGCCAGCAGCCAGTTACTCATGCAACCACTTGCTCATTCATACACCCCCAGTGGAATGGGAGGAAAAGAATAGAAAGAGCACAAAATTTGAAGGAAGAGCACAAAATCCACAAGAAAATTTGTGGATTCAGATAGAAGTTTAATAGCTGAAATGAAGCAAAACTGTGAGTTCGACCAAAACAAAAGGAGAAATTAATTCTTTGTTCCCCATTGACGGGCAGGTGTTCAGCCACTTCTGGGCAGCTGGGCCTCAGCATGTGTAATGCTTGCTTGGGGAGACAAGTACCATAACTATGAGGGTTCCCTTCCTTCTTTCCCTCAGCATTTATTGTTGAACATGACATACGGTCTGGAATATCCCTTTTGTTAGTAGGAGTCACCCAGCCTGGCTGTGTCCACTCCCAGCATCTTGTCCACCCCAGCCTACTTCCTGATGCTGTGGGGCAGAGTGGGGAGAAAAAGTAAAGACCTGGACACTGTGCCAGCACTGCACAATAGCCAAAATATTGGTGTGTTATGATCACTGTTCATAAAATATAAAATATGAGTGTTATGAAGAAAATAAACTCCATTCCAAACAGACACAGTACAGTAAAGGAATGGGAATTTTCCACTTTGAGACAGTTTTATATCAACTAAAAGTCTGTAAAATGTGTATTTTTCTAAAACACTGAGATTTCACAATTTAGATGCTTTTTGAAATTTGGTTAGCAATCAGTCTGATTGGTCTGTGATGGAAAAAAATGTCAAAACTGTGTGTATTAAAGCCAGCAAGGTAACACCTGGCTCTTGTATGGTTTAACAAAAATTACTCCACTGTAAAATATGAAGAATACATAGCAACTTTCCATTGGAATCGTGGTAATGTTTTGGGCTAGGATCTAAAAAAAAAAGAAAAGAAAAGAAGACAATGTCCTTACATACTGTATTTGCTCCTCTGGACAAACATTACACAGTGTCCAAACAAACTGCATGGTCCATGACCAAACCAAATACTGGGTTGTCTGGTGCTGTTCTCTTACTAACCCCCTTCTTTCTGGGGGAGAGATTTACAGTTCTCTCTATCTGGTTTTATATTTTTTTCCTGGTGTTGGTTTTCTTTGTTTGGTTTTTGGGATTCACTTTAAAAAACACTGGAATTTTATTTAGGTTTTTTATTAGTTCAAATAGCATATGGCATGGACAGCTTTTGAGTAGCATTTACTTTTATTACTGTTGGGGTGTTGGTTTTTTTGTGTTACAAGGCTTTGAGTTGCATCTCAACTTCTGTGACTTTTTTTTTTTTTTATAATATTGAGGATTAAATGCTTTCAATTACATTTTTATTTAGGTGGCAGAGAAGCTGGGGCATTGCTCACCGCTGTAGTCAGCTGCACAGTCTGGGCCGCTTGGTCCAACAGCGACCTGAAATATTAGAGAATGTTAAAGGTATTTCTGTTGCTTGTTTCATGTATCCTAATATAGTATTGATTCAGAAATGAGCATGGGTCTTCTGTGACAAGGGAGCTCTAGTTCTTTTTACAAATTCTTTTGATAACTGCAAAAACAAACTTGTCAAGCTTACTGAAAAGCTGGTGAGAACTTACATTTAAAGCTACTGGGTATTTTTTAAAGTGACCTTTCCTTAGAATTGATTGGCTGCACTCAGTTTCTAGTTTGCTTCTTAATAAATGCAAGTGGAGTCTGTTGAAGGCACTAGGCTTAATATTAGCAATGAAAGTAAAAAATCTGAACTGAACCTCTCAAAGTATTGAGTTAACAATAGATTGTTGTCCGTGGTAGATTCAAGACAAAAATGTGAGTATGTCTCTAACCCTAGCAATGATTTACTAGAATACCTTAAAATGCTACTTGCTTTCTTTTCTCATGTGTGTCCCATAAAATAGCTATATTAAAGTCAGTATTTTCTCAGGAAAAACTAAAATGTTCTGCAAAGCTGACCTACCATTCTTCTCATACAGCTGTTTGACCTATGGCAGTAGCTGCTTCCTCTGATTGTAGTTCTGTATTTTATGTCTGTCTCTGCAGATACTCAGTTTTGAGTGGCTTTCATTTGAGAGTTCACATGATCCTTTGCCAAAAGACATGGTAGGAAGGACAATGAGTAGTAGTTTTAAATTGTATCAGATTTCAAATTAGTTTCTTTTCCTGAGCATGCTAAAGATAGAAAGCATTACAGAAGCCTGTCTTGTGAACCTGTTGTAGTCTCCATTTTTGAAGATATTTAGTAATGCACGGGATAAATACCCATCGGTAACTATACAAGTACAGTTGATCTTGCCTTAGGGTACAAGGATGGACTAGATGCCTTGAAGTCAGTGTTGCTCTTGTTTGGGATTTTGGAAAACTGATTTCTGAGCAAAAGCTTCTACTTAAGCCTGGTCTTGTAGACTAATACATCACACTGAGGACTTTTGTGGAAGCTTACTTTGATCAATAGTTGCCTGTGCTTTTACCCTAAAGAATTCTTGAGGATCTTTGTATTCAGATTAAAAAAACATACACTCAAAACTGATTTATCCCCCTAAAAACCCACCTAGAATTAGCCTTTTATGTTGTCTCTATTTTAAAAAAGAATGAAAACATAATGTGCAAGTGTTTCTTACAGCTTGCGTGTTGCTGAGAGTTCAGAAATAGAGTTGAATGGCCTTATAATTATTTGACCAACTTTTAATTTGCATATGCTTCAAGCATAAAACATGCATTTCCTACATTATACATGATTTATACAGATTCTTTGAATATCCTGTCTGGTGAGATTTTCTCATAATTTAAAAGCAGTCATAAGAAAAAAATCCAATTAAATAAAAATCTATCAAGTTCAAACAGAGAGAAGGCAGATGCTGGGTCACGTTTGTATGAAAAAAAAATCTTAAACTGGACTTTTCAGGAACCTCTCAAAATTTTGAGAATAACAGAAGCACCTACTCATGTGCATTTATGCTGCAGAAATACATTGCTTGTGATGTTAGCAGCCTGGTGAAGCCTTCAGTAATTGTAGGAATGGTTGCAGTAAGCCAAATTAGTAAAGAGCTTTGTTCAATCTCTAGGACGCACGGTGGTATTTACAGACCGCTCGGGTATGAGTGCAGCAGGTCACATAATGCTGGGGACCATGGATGTTCACCATCACTGGACCAAAGTAAGAAAATTTCAAATCAAATGAAAATGCCCGTTGTTGTGACATCCTTTTTTAAACTACAAACAAAAAATATTAATAGGTGGAGATAACCAATGAGTGTTTTAAAGCTAACACTTAGCTAATGCATTTAGCATAATGATGTACACTGCATTTGAAATTTAATCCTGTGTGTGCTGTAGCTAACAGTCTTTGCTAGATCTTTGCTTTCGTTAGTAAGTCAGTACTACTTCTGATTAGAGATAAAGAAAACTAATTTGTTATGCACTATTCCAGTCTGTGCAATGAGTCCTGACAGAATACTTTGTGATCCATAAAGAGCTCATTCCCATGAAGAGCTAATAAATTTTATGCTGATCTTTTGTAAATATGAGATTTAAAGGGAATTTTGAAATGATGATTTCAGTCAATGACTCTAACCAACCCTGTCACTGCATTTTGTTCTTTTAGGCAGCTAATGTGGATGTTGCGGAATTTTATCTTTAGTGACTATGTCAATTCTGCTGCTGCTTGTGTAAAGTTCAGAGTTGATAAGCTTTCTGACATCCTAAATGATAGCATTGTATGCAAAGGACCAAAAACTAAATATGTTGCAATATAAACATGTCCGTTGAGGAATTCTTCTTTAATCTTGGCTACTGAAACATTACTGATAATTCTATCAAAAAGTATTTCTTCATAAAGAAGAAATATTGAGATTATTGGTGGAATTTCATAGTTGGGAATTTCACCCTCCTGGAATATCAGAATATTCTATTTCTGTATTCCAGTCAGTGAATAATATGAAAAGTTAACACTTGATCTTCTTTTTTTGGTGGTGCTTTGAATTTTTCCCTACCTATGTTTCACTGAGGGGGGAAAACAAACCATGGTTTCTTAGTGTGAACAATTTACTAAGAACTTTAACTGAGAAACCAGATTTAATACAAGACTTTCTGAGATTTGAGAGTGTTGATAGTCATTGCAGTAAAAGTGTTCTGATTATACTAAAATAAACACTGACTTCCTTAAAAATATAAATGCTTGAACTTTCTAACCTTTGCTGCAGGTTTTTCCAAAGGTATCGTAAAGCCACACAAAATGCCATGCAGGTGGAACAATGTGTGTAGTTAGTTGTAGTGATGGTATTTGCTTGGGAAGACAAAAGAGTGGTATCTATTTGAACCTGAAATCAGAGGCTTTTTATTTTGAAACGCAGTGAAAATTATGTGAAATGTTACAGAAATTCAATGAAAATCTTGATGAGGTTGGTGAGCCAATTTCTAGAGAGCATATGTCCAATTCTGCCTCATTTTAGAAAGCAGTCCTATGTGCCATTACTTTTTGTTGCTAATTACTAGAAGAAGAAAGCAGTAGAATACTGTCCAAGTCAGTCTGTAGAATGCTTGGTCAGAGCTACAATATTTAAAGGATTTTTTGCTGGTTTTCTGTGTTACAAATGCAAATGCTGAACCGAATTTTATTGTGCCAACAGCTGTTCTGACTCTACTGTCAGAACTATCTGCTGTCTCTTCTACTGTTCTCCTGAGTTTCTAAAGAGATACTTCTGAAATCACTTGACTTGTTGCAGCAGCAGCTTTTTTTTTGTAGGAAAAGCTACTTTAAAATAATACCAACAGGGTAGATGGTAGGTAGTGACTGCTGTATGAGGAATAGCTCAACCACTGTAACTGTGGTGATAAATGTTTTATATAGGCATCAGATTTTTTTTTTATCTGAAACTGTTAATTTCTGAAAATATAGAGGATAGCCATCCATGTTTTTATGTCCTTTTGGTGCCTTTATGTTATAAATACAGAAAGTACTTAAAAGCTTATTCGATTATATCTTGTCCCAAAATGTATATACTTGATATTTCTCACCTATGGTATTCTTTGATTGTAATTTTTTCCTCTCGGGTTCAACGTTTGCATTGTTAATTGTCTCTTTTATGGTTTCTTGTTATTTTAATTTATTAAAATTAACTTTTAAGCTTTGTAACGTAGAAAACGTTCGTTCATGTGTATGCACAGATTTTTGAGAGACTGCCAAATTATTACAAGCTTCAAAAAAGGCTGCTGCTTTTGGAAGATCGGATAAGCCAACTTCTGGGAGGCATCCAAGTAATATATATTGAAGAGCTGCAACCTCTGTTGACTCTAGAAGAGTACTTCGAGACTCTGAACTCTTTCTATAATAAACTACGTGACAGCAGATTACCTTTTCATCCCCGTAGTCTGCGAGGCTTGCAAATGATTCTGGAAAGGTAGGTGTTGGCAGGGAAGGTTGATTGCTTTTAGAGCTTTTCTTTTTTGGTTACGCCGCTTACTGCTCTCGCTAAGAAAAAGCGATATAATCTCGGATTGTCGTTATTGCAAAGTCTTTCTGTTTCTGAAGGTTTTAAGTGCATTTTTATGGGTTAAGGAGGAATCAGATTGAAGAAAATCCTGCTTAGTTTCATTCAAGCTAGACTCAGTTCTGTCTGGTTTAGAGTTTGTGCTGGTTTAAATCAAAAGTTTTGTGCTGTCATGATGGTGTTTATATTTTTAGAATATCATTATCAGCTCCTTTTGAAATGTAATTTTAAAAAAGCATAACCTACTATATTTCTCTGTTCTCATGAACCAAACTTGACAGCTTTTTAACAATTATTCTGATTGTGATTAATTTATATTCTTTTATCTTTAGATTTTTTTCTGAAAGTAATTTATATAAATAGTTGCATTAAAAAATGTTACCTTGTTCTTTACTTCCATTGTGTTTCATTAGTGACAGATATGCACCAAGCCTACATGAACTTGGACACTTTATGATCCCAACGGTCTGTGATCCAGCAGCTCTTCAATGGTTTATTTTTGCCAAAGCACAGGAAGCAAGAGAGAATTTGAAAAGAAAGGAGGAGTAAGTGTTCATGTGACTTGATACACTTAGCTCTTTAAAATCTTTGCATGTTCTGTTTTTTTATTTGGAGAAGGAGGAGAATTTTTAAAAATGTATTCATACCCTTTTGCTGAAAAAAAACCCTTTTGTTTAGAACTTTAGAAAATAGAACTTTATCCATCAGCTTTATTAAGTAAAGAATTACAGCATTAGTGAATGCAAACAGTTACTATAAAATAGCCTCTTTCACCTTGTACAGACAATTGTACATCATTCAGAAGTAAAATACCTTTGCTTACAAGACAAAATTGCATAATTCTTTTTACAATTATGTCCCCAAAGAAGAGGTGGAAGACACCTTCTTAATGGTTAAGAAAAGGAACATTTTTTATTGATGTTAATTAAAATGTGACCAAAAAAAAAGCAGTGAAATCTAAACTCAAAATAGCTGAGGCCAACTAGAGGATCATTATTTCGAGTTGTTGGTCAGGTAGTTGAGAAAAATATTAATTAGTACCTAACGAGGCGAAGAAAAAAAAATGGGGAAGAATGATGAGAGAAACATTGTGGGTACTCTCTCAAAGATGACAAGGGTGATTATGATAGGGAGTCACAGCACCATACTTAATACTGGGGCCATGGTCTGTAATATCCATCAGAACTGTGAATTTGGTTCTTGACCTTGTACCCTGTATGTGTCCTTGAGGATGAAGGAGAGATACTGGGGTTTTTAAATAAAGTACTGTTACAGGTAAGTGGGTGGTGCTTATCCTTTCAGAGGCCATTACTGCAAGTGGGTTTTTCTGCTTTGGAAAGCTTTTAATGAGTTGTTGAACTATCACAGTCATCAATATATGTGATGTATATCATGATATGTTCATGATGCAGGTATGTTCCTGTGAAGTTATTTTAGGCATGAGTCTTGCTGAAGGCTCTATGGTTTTAGCTCTGTTAAGACCTCATTACTTGTAAAAATGTGTTTTGCAGGTGGACTTCAATAAACATGATTTGTTGGAATTTTTCCACAACCCCAGTCAGCTTGGAAGTTAAATTTTTGCCATATAAATTTTAGCTACAGAATAGCTCTCTATGTAACTGTCCACATATGACAGCTGGGAAAGTATTGTCCATAGATTTTGGGAGGGATGTTGTAGCAAATATATGCATTTGTATCTGGGTAACTCACTCTCCAAAAAAACCTCACACTACCACACTTCATAAAGACACCAATCCAGAAAAACTGTGCCCTCAGAGTAAAAGCAGCTGTGTTGTAAGAATGTAAGAGCCAAGATGCATATCTTGTGTGCTGGATGATTGCTGGTTTGTATGAAATAGTAAACAACTCTACAGGGTCACAATATCTGTCCCCATCATCCCTTAGTTTATGGAGAGGCTTTATGCATGAGGCAAAAAATGTGGTGGGTTTTTTACTCCGTACTCCTTCCCAGTTTGTGTCTGACTGCACTTGAGAAAATACTTGAAGCTGGAAACATTATCTCATGTTAATATCTCATGTTAATAGCAAATAGATTGATTGCTATTAACAATTGATTAACAATCAATTTTTATTTTTCCCCCTCTTAATTACCTTACTACTTTTTGAGCCAATTTGCGTTTTGTCGCTCCAAATATGCAATGGCAGCAAATTGCATATTTGAATCACATATGACGTGTATATGAAAGAGAGTGGAGGTGTTCTGTGATTTTTATACCCATAGCCTGATTATCTCATTTGTTGTTCTTTTGTTCTTGTGTGATAGGAAGTACAAAACAGTCATTCTGTATCACCTCTGCTTTTGTTTTGTAGCTGTGTCGCATTTCCTCTTACTTGTCTTTTATCGAAGCTGGAAACTCCTTTTCCACTTAATGCTTCCTTGGACTTACTCATGTCCTTCTGATTTTCCTTAGCCCCATGTGGTGGTTAAAAAGGCCCTATGATAGAGGAAAATACTTTGAGATGTACTGGCTGTACTTTGCATATGGACTTGAATGTTCTGCATGCAGTAAACAGCATAGAGTGGCCGTAATTCTGACTTGAATGTACAAGGAAATACAAACACTGCTGCTCTAGAAGGTTCTGTTATCTGTGTGGATAATGTCAGTCTTCTAGTAATGCAGGATTCTCCTTCCCATGCTTATTTAAAGTATCAGGTTTGTGTGGTGATGAAGGTGCAAGCCTCCCTGTGGAAGTGACAGAAAACAAACCTGCAGTTCTCCAGCTAACTGGAATTCCTTCAAGGGAGCCTAAGATTTCACTGGAAAGCTTGGTGCCTTAGGTATTTTGGAATGCACTCAGGAAGGTGGCGTGGAAATGGTCCATAGAGAGGACACCTGGCTCTGGGTTAACTCGCTGGCTCAGCTCATTGCTGACTGCCACAGTGGTCTGGCTCTTGGGCCTCAGCAGAGCTCAGTGCCATGTAAGTCCACAGAGGTCCCAATCTGAGTTCTGGGGCGTAGTGGCGAGGCCCTACAGTAGCATTTTCAGGTGAGGCAAATGGTCTCAGTAGCTGTGTCTGTGCTTAGCTTGGGCTGATTCACATCCCAGTGGTGCTGCTGCTTCGTAGCTCCTCCCCTGTCTAGCGCAGGGTCTGTGCTGTAGGGCAGCAGTGGAGCTGTGTCTGCAGCCAGGCTGGCTTGGAAGTGCAGCTGTGTTCGTGTGGCACAGTGCCCAAGCTGCTGGGGCTGGCGGAACCTGAACTTGTCTCTTCCTCAGTTGATCAGTCACAGCTCCAGTGGCTGAATTAAATCTACACATTAACTTTCTTTCTGAGTAGTTTGAGTTTGCGTGTGGTGTCTTATTTCTCTGGGGTGAAGGAAAAAATCATCTGCAAGGTTTGGATTCAAAATTCATAGAATCATTTAGGTTGGAAAAGACTTCATTGGGTCCAAACACATCAACAAAGTTCTGCAGTTGGAAGTTACTGTGCACTTAATATGCATCTGTATTACTGCACCTATCAGTTGTTGGTTTTGATGACATACAGAGTACTGGTTTAATTAAGGCATAGTAATTATGAATATGATTTTATGTTTAAAACCTAAGCTTTCGATGTTATTTCAGTATTTTCATTCCTTACATTAAAAATGGAGCCTCACAGGATTTTTATTTTTGTTTTTCCCAGTTACTTAGTGAGCAAAAAGATGTCAGGGCATGGGCTTTGAAATGTGAATCCATGGGCATGCAGTGCCCGTAGTCATGGAAGAATGTTCACTCTGACTTCTGAGATAGTCACGTGTCACAAAAATCTCAGCTCCATCATACCTGTATATGAACTGACACCTTTGTTTACATGCACCTAATCTACTTATTTCAGTATTTCTTGGTTTACTATATGTTCAATATACATTGAAATGCTTATTTTAAGGCGGGGGTTTTAAGAGATGAAGTTACAAGTTTGTCACAGTGTGTTATCTCCATTTGCTAGGATGATGATTACAGAGAAGGAGCTAATCAACACTTCCACGGAAAGATTTTCTTTGGATCGGCTGTATAAGGAACCCAGTGTTTCCAGTGCACAGATGATAGATTGTTGTAAGCGGCTGCTGGAGGAATCCTTACCCTACCTACAAGGCATGCACCTTTGCATTTCGCATTTCTACTCTGTGCTGCAGGATGGAGACCTGTGTATACCTTGGAACTGGAAAAACTGAGGGATGTATCTGATAATCAGATGAATCGTTTTATTTTCTGTAAGAGGTTATAAATATGAATGTTTCTAAGAGTAAATTATTTAAATCTGTATTTTGATATCAGTATTCAGCTCACACATTTTCTTCCAACTGCTGCTGAGGAAGGATTGCGGTTCTAGACAATTTGCACAATGCGCAGTATTGGTAGTCCTGGGAAAGACATCTGTACATTATCCATACTACTGTAGGAGTCCCCATGTGTGGTTACAGTTGTGAAACTGCATTTTTGTAGTGAATTCTGAAAATACATTAAATTTCAAGTCTGCAAAAATGTGCATGTGTATTTTTAGTGTACGTGAATATCACCAGATAAATCATCTTAAATAAAGTGTGCTACTCCAGCCAGACATTACATGCCATCTTAAGGGTTCCTTGAATGCAGAAGTTATCTGGTGGCAATGCTGGCATTTCATATTGCTGCCTATCACTGAATTAGGAAAAAAGCAACAAGGGAAAAAACACTGGAGTATTTATCCTTTGCAGAAGACAGCAGTACATTGACCTGGAGTCTACAGCAGAATTTCACATGCCGGTCCGACATTGTTGCCTTAGAATTCCAAAATATGCCAGTTATACTGTCTGTGGTTACCTTAAAGCAGATGTCATTCTCTTTTTGTTTTCTGGCATTTGCTCCATAAATACTGGCAATCCTCTTTACTTACACTATAACAGATTGCAAATCCCATACACAGCACTTAAACCCTGAGTAGTTTAATGTGACATCTAAGGGAAGGAAGCACTGATTTGTGTGGGATTGTCTGCAAAAGTACTTCTCAGTAAGAACGAGGAGTTTGCAGTGTGGCAAATGCGTGGATCCTTCCTGGTACTTTATTCCTTAAAAAAAAAAAAAAAAAAAAAAAAAGAAATAAAGTGTGAATGCATGTCAACACTTTTTCATTGTAATACATGCCAAGATGCATTTTTGGTATTTGGATTACTACTTAGCAAAATATCATTTGAGAAAGGCCAACTGCTTAACATTTCTGGATTTGAATTTACCATAACTGGCAAAAAGAAACAGAATTGTCAAATGCTTACTTGCCTTGTATTTTTATTTGTATTGAGCTGGAAAATTGGTGTGGTTCTGTGTTTTCTCCTGCCGGAAGGCTCAGTATCAAGTTGTTTATTAAGATGTCAAACTTAAAGCAAAAACTCCCACTGTGATCTCAAAAATATCTGTTCTAAAATGTCAGGTCAGAAGTGGTACTTCCTCAGACCTTAAATCCAGGGGAATTACTGGCGAGGCCTGGAGAGGTTTTGAAGATCAATTGACAGTTTTGTCCAAGCAGTTAACTTCCATGGCACACACCCTCCCTCAGTCTGTCTAGCACTACTGGTATTCTCTGTCCCACCTGTGCCAAGCAAGTGAGCCAGTCCCATCAGCTGTAGCCCAGCAATATTCCCTCATTCAGCTCTTTGAAAGAAGGGTGTCTTTGGAAATAAAAAGACTGTACTAGTGGGTTTTTTTATTGCTTGAGTGGAATGACCCCTTCTAGAGCTTGAGGAAGGAAGCAGCTGTCCTGTTTGCTTGTAGAGGAGATGATAAAAGGTCTAAGGGAAGGTGAGTGGATGCAAACAAGAGCCTGAAGCCATCCTGTAAAGACTAACACTAATGTCACTGAAAGCAGTGACTGCACCTCCTCTTTGCGGCACAGAACAGACAACTGGAACTGGCTGGAGAAGACATAAAGGGCCTTTATGAAATAGACCATGGGATATTTCCACAAGTAATGGGGACCTTGACATGGAGAGGGTTGGAGGAGGCAAAGCTTGACAAAGGGGAATGGGATTGAGCTTAAGTGGAGGAGCAGTGAAGCAGTTGTAAAGCCTTTCTAGTCTGGGATGCATCTGAAGAGTCTCACCATTCCCTCTAAGGGAAAACAGCCAAAATACTGTGGCAGAATGTGTCAGCCCTCAAAGGGTAGCATGGGAGCTTACTTTCCTGATGGTTCCTCCAGGTTAGGGCCTTGGGTCTAATAAACCAGAGTTCCAGTCCTGGAACCAACAAGGTGACTGTCTCACATGCCATGGGGGTGCGCCTTCCCTCTGCTATTAGTTTTTTTTTTCCCTGAGGTCTGAAGGAGATGCATTATGAAATCTCTATAACTGCTCAGAAGTTTAGCAATATAAAAATTAGAGTTGATTATAGGTCAGTAATACAGCAGTGTAAGGTCTGGGTGTAACTGGTTTTTTATAGTGCACTTTGTGTAAGTTGGTTTTGCTGCTGAATGATCAAGTTGCCTTTACAAATATATGGGGCTCTTTGCATTCTTTAACATACTTAGAAAAACAGTGGGGGAAAAGGTGCATGTTGTAGGTGTTTATTTAGTCCTGTTTGATTTATTTTGAAGACTGTCACCAAAGTAACAGAATTATCCATTTAGGCAAATGCATGGGTTAAATCTGTCAGAATTACATTTTGATTTCTAACATTTTATATATGGCAGGGGGAAAAAGGAGTTAGAACTCTGAAAATCTTTTGTCACTATGGCAGCATGGAAACAGATGATGAATTGAAACTCTTGTGTTTTTAAATAGTGCAGAATACCTCAAATTCTGTTCAACAGACAGTGCTGTCACAACTCTGTGGAAATATATTTGAGTGAGTACTGACATCTACTGCAGTTTTATCCACTCCTGCTTGCTCTGTGACCAATAACTGAAAACATTTGGTATGAAGTGTCAAGAATCATCATCTTTAAAAAAAATCCTAATATTAAATTAGGTGGAGTTGATGTCTTGCTGTTTTAAAAATTGTTTGGCTTAGATTTGAGTTTTTCTACTGTTCAGAAATTTGCAGCACACATTTGAAAGGTAAGTAAGAAACCCTACCACTGATCAAAGAATTGAAATGTGTGTTGGTTATCTGTCATGAGTCAATAAACCGTGATGCCCAGATCGTGTCATTCAGCCGCTCAGAGTGGTTTAGTATTTTAGTGCAGCTGCCAGAAGGAAATCCAATGCTAAAATAAAAGAGATGGGGGCTTGAGACAAAATTTAGCACCTTAACAAGTTATTTTGATGCTGTTTAATGCCGTGACCTTGAGATGCAGGCACTGGCAAACAACATTTTCCATTTTGTCAGGTGTTGGTGTAACATTTTACAGTATTGGTTCTTTGTGAATTCCAGTGTTACAGAACTCCTGCTTGTGTTTTAACAGCTGTGTATGAAAATTGCATGAAATTGCACGCAATAGTGCCCATTTTGTCATTGTTCTTATGGGTATTAACAGCTGGGATACAGTCTCCAGCGCTAGTAGGCTTGTATTCATGTTTTGTAAGACATTCAAAAGGTTGATAATGAATCTGGGGAAAGACTTAAAAAGGGAGTGTCTTCCAGAAGATTAGAGCTGATGTATCAATGCATACCCAAAATTCATCAAAACTCTTCATGGAAAATGTAAATCTCATCTGGTTTGTGTACACGACAGCTTGAAAAACCTTTCTGAGGAAAGTGAAATTTTTACACTTAGTAATTTCCAGTTGTTTTTCTGAAAATATATAGTACTTGTCTGAAAAATGTTATCTCTGTGACTCCTTGGGCATACTCATGTATGGTATGTGTATAGTACAGGTATACAAAGATAAGACTTTTCGTAGTATTTCTTTATAAGCTTAACATTTTGCAAATTTTTAATAGAGAAGAACAGGAGGTTTTATTGGGTATTTTTTATAGAAATGTAGCCTAACTGAGAAACAGATAACGTAGCTGTAAATGCAGTAAAAATGTTCATTTTAAAAGTTGAGAGAGCAGTGATCCTTTTCAGATGCATACAAATACTAGAGTAATTTGACTTTAAAATACAAGATTAAAAGCTGGGATCTCAATTCTGTGCATGGGAAAAAATGTCAAGATAAAAAAGGAAAGCCCTGTTAAAACTACAGTATATACTGATGTAATGGGGAAATAATCTTGTTTTGCAGTCTGTCCTTTTCAGCTACATATTCCTTACACAATTGCTTAAATGCTGAATAATCTAGTACTTCATTTTTGCTAAATCCTCCGATGGGGTGCTGTGTCTAAGTAGCCAGACTGATTGATTATGAGTTCAGCAATCTCTTTAAGACAAAAAACCTTTAGAAGATATTTAATTTAGTAGAGTTGAAATTTAATATTTTCTTGACAGCTTTTATATTCTGAAAGTGTCTCTTCTGTGATCTTCTATTTCCATAGCTTTTGGCTATTGTGTGGCTCCATATTTTAGTGTCTTTAAATGATTTTTAACCCTTTTGCTTTTCCTGATGTATTTACCAAAAGAGGTTTAAATGTCTATGCTGTGAACTGTGCTAACTACAGACTCCCCCAACATGCCTGAAACTGGACTGCTTACCCTCTTTGTAAAGTTCTCTTGGATTTTAACAGGGAATAAGATTCCTCAGGACAGGGAATAAGATTTCTCAGAAGAGTGAGAGCAGCCCAAATTTGTGCCAAATGTAACGGCTGCAATGGCAACATGAATGGTTCTTAACATCAAGATTAAATAAAAAGAGCAGGGTTATTTTTTTTTTCTGTTTAGTACCAACATCCCTACCTAGCTATTCAGGACAACACAAGGCAATATACTGTAGATTAAGATACCAGTCACTTTTAATTTCTTTTTGGTTGTTTCTCTTTCATCATCTCCTTTGTCATTTGATTTTTTTATGTTGCAGGGACATAGTTGAGCAGTCAGCTAATGCCTGTGGTAGCTGTGTGCACCCTCTTTCTGTAATGGGATATTCTGGGACCATTTAATAAAAGCAGCAATCGGATGGGAACCTGATGTCCTCCCTCAAGATTGCTCTGTGATCTGGCGGCCACAGTTCAAGATCAAGGCGTTTCCTTGATAGTGCTTTGTCCAGCCCACACGTTATTTTACCCACTGGCTTGTCATGCTCCTGGGAACTTCTCATTTGGAGCTGGGGATTTTTTCTTTGGGTTTTTTTTTTTTTTTTTAATGGGATGTTTCAAGTTCATTGAGTCAGTGGGTTGTAGTTGTAGACCGAGTTTCTGAATTCTGCTGTGTTATCATCCAAGGGCACGGGTAACTTCTGTTTTCAGCTTGCATTGATTTCAGACAGTCCTTTGAGACAGAGCTGCAACTTCTATGCAGTGCTGAAAAAAAAAAATAACCAGTAAATGCACGTATTTTGTGAAAAGGTTTTTGTTTTTTCACCTTAATATCCTATTTTGAAAGGAAGAGCTTCCTTTGTCCTGTAATTTTACTGTCATGACATGAAGGAGAAGACAGATTGTTACATTCTTCCTTGGTACATTCTTATTGCGCTTCA